GTGCCGGGGCGGGACGGTTCCGTCTTTACATCGCGCTCCTTACCGCTGATTATATTAGATTCGCGTCAAATTCGGTGAGAAGACTGAGAAATGTACAGGCAATCATATGGTCAAAGAATTTTGAATATCGGTCGGTAACAACTTGAGTTATAAGTGTGTAAACACAAAATTGTGATTGCCGCGTTTCCCGCGTCGGCCGATGCCGCTTCAGCCGGCGACATCTTACCCTTAGCAGGCTTCTAACTGCCATATTTATTGTTGGATTATCTAGAAATTCACCATACATACTCACAAATGTTTGCTATTTTGTATAGTGAAAGTTTAAAAAAATCGGCCGGTAACTTTTTGAGTTATCGGCGTGTAAACGAAAAACAATTCGCTAATATGGCAGATTTGACCACATTTGACCTCATTTGACCTTGAAGATATTGACCTAGGGTCATGAAATTCACATACAACAGAGTTCCCCGTGGCCCCCACCTATCCTCCAAATTTTGTCTTTCTAGCTCCAGTGGGAGCTGAGATCTTAGGGGGGGGGCGACATCCGCCCCCCCCTTCCACTGGGCGTAGTACTCGCAACCCTTCCACTGCGCGTGTTAAAAACCGCTTCTCGATATGTGACCCTGTTTGACCTCGGCAGGTCAAAATGTACAAATAAACGACACTCTATACGTCGCAGCCCGGATTCAGCCCAGATTCGGGACATCTCCGATCAAGCTGAAACTCGCACACAATGTAGGTCCTGACATGCCCATTCCACAGTCCGAGTCATTCGGCGGCACTTCCAGCCATTTGACCTAGAGAGGTCAGCAAAGGTCACGTGGCCAAAATTTGCACAGCAGATTGTGGCCCACCCAGTAGAGCTAGAGCACTAAAAATGGCACCAATCGACTCGCCAGTATCTAATCTTACTTTCCCAATACCCATTTGACCTCTCAAGGTCATGCGATGACCTAAGGTCATTTGTGGGCCACGTCGAAAATACATTTGCACAGCAGTTTTCGAGTATAGGGATTGACTGAATTCCAACTCAAAGCACATCATCGGGTAGCCCATAGGCCGTAGTAACTTTCCTTAAAAACTGCTTCTCGATATGTGACCCGTTTGACCTCGGCAGGGCAAAATGTACAAATAAACGACGCTCCACACGTCGCAGCACAGATTCAGCCCAGATTCGGGACACCTCCGATCAAGCTGAAACTCGCACACAATGTAGGTCCTGACATGCCCAATCCACAGTCCGAGTCATTCGGCGGCACTGCCAGCCGTTTGACCTACAGAGGTCAGCAAAAGTCACGTGGCCCAAATTTGCACAGCAGATTGTGGCCCACCCAGTAGAGCTAGAGCGCTAAAAATGGCACCAATCGACTCGCCAGCATCTAATCTTACTTTCCCAACACCCATTTAGCCTCTCAGGGTCATGCGATGACCTAAGGTCGTTTGTGGGCTATGTCGAAAACACACTTTCAGCTTGATCGGAGGTGTCCCGAATCTGGGCTGAATCCGGGCTGCGACGCATGGAGTATCGTTTATTGGTACATTTTGCCCTGCCGAGGTCAAACGGGGTCACATATCGAGAAGCGGTTTTTAAGGAAAGCTACTACGGCCTATGGGCTACCCGATGATGTGCTTTGATTTGGAATTCGGTCAATCCCTCTACTCGAAAACTGCTGTGCAAATGTATTTTTGACATAGCCCACAAATGACCTTAGGTCATCGCATGACCTTGAGAGGTCAAATGGGTTTTGGAAGAGTAAGATTAGATGCTGGCGAGTCGATTGGTGCCTTTTTTAGCGCTTTAGCTCTACTGGGTGGGCCACAATCTGCTGTGCAAATTTTGGCCACGTGACCTTTGCTGACCTCTGTAGGTCAAACGGCTGGGAGTGCCGCCGAATGACTCGGACTGTGGATTGGGCATGTCAGGACTAGTGATGTCAATGACGGAAAATTGTAATACCGATACCAAACCAAATACCAACAATAACCACAAGAAAATGCCAAAACCGAACCGACTTGGGGAAAATGAGGGAAATGCCAACTTTTTACCAAATTCACAGCCTCTTTTACATTAGCGACGATTCACAATACCGACAAAGTACCAAAAAACATTGGCCTTGAAATACCAAATACCAAGTTGGTATCGGTTTGGTATCGGTATACCAAAAAGTTGGTATCCGATTGACATCTCTAGTCAGGACCGGTCAGGACCTACATTGTGTGCGAGTTTCAGCTTGATCGGAGGTGTCTCGAATCTGGGCTGAATCCGGGCTGAATCTGGGCTGAATATGGGCTGTCTTGACGGACATGTCTATCCCTGTGGTTTTGTAAGCATAGGCAAATACGAGCCGCAAGTCTGGGACAATACATACCAGGTAGAAATAATTTTGATGAATTTGATCGTCTGTGAAACCAGTATAACGCCTTATGGGGCGACTAACGGAGCGAGCGAGAGGGTGGGCCTTGCACGTGCGAAATTTCGAGGGGGTACCTCCAACTGACTTGTGCACGGCACCCTACTAACCGGTCTCTAGCGATGTGCCAAATTTGAGCACAATCGGCCCAGCCGTTCTCGAGATCTGGAAGCGGCACCCTGCACGTGCGCACGTGCAAAATGGGTCCCAACTGACTTGTGCACGGCACCCTACTAACTGGTCCCTAACCGTGTACCAAATTTGAGCGCAATCGGTCGAGCCGTTCTCGAGATCTGGAAACGACCCCTGCACGTGCGCACGTGCAGCAGCACCCCAACTCTGGCACATGGATATGCAGGGCCTAGTGGGTGCCTACCTACATGCCAACTTTCAGCGCAATCGGCCAAGCAGTTACCGAGATATTGCAACAATTGCAAAACTGACACCTCTTCGTTTTGCACGTGGCACGTGCATAAGGGGTCACCCACATGCATCGGCAATAGTCCAATACTTGGTAGAAGGAATGAAGCTACCCTACAAAAATTACCGCATGTAAATCGGTCAAGTGGTTGCTGAGATATAAGCCTCGCAAAAGCGTCCGCATGGCCGGCCGGCCGCTCATACTCAGAAATTTCCGTTAATCTAAGGAAAGACTACGCTCGCTTCGCTCGCTCCGTAATCAATGTGCACCAACCAGTTTTCTCAGTAATTCAGCCCGCAATTCTCGTGCTGTGTTCAAAAAGGCGTTTACAGTGAGGGTCGAACTTAGAAAAAACGAACTATAGCACATATATTCCGTTTTTTTTTCCGAAAAGTCAGAATTTTTTAATCGACAATTATGGTTTGTAGGTAATAGTATACGCATATTTTTCAAAATCACTTAGGTAAGTTGCAAAAATCCGAAAGGGCAGTTTGATTGCCACTTGTATTCTAAGTCCACTCATGCAATGAAATTGGATAAAGCTAAAAAATTGAGCTCTTGAGAGCGATTATCCTTTTCAATATTTTTCATGAAAATCATCCGGCATGACGTAACTCTGACGTCATTTCCGGCCGACCTATGTTAGCTAGAAAGTCGTAATTGAGCCATTAGGTGTAGAATGCTGCTGAAGGTACCGTAGGTTTCGTGTTGATACGAGTATGTCAAGCGGTTTAGAAGATATTGCAGACAAACCAGAAGGGGGCTCTGTAGAGACTCCCAAGTCATGCGCGGGTTAAGAAAGCATGAATATTAATTTGCAAAATGTACGTCTTTGTTATTGAAGTAATATTGATCTTACGAAATTAGTCGCAGTTTTCATGAAAATTTACGTTAAATCTCTATTCTCCAAAAAAATGTAATGAAATACATTTGACATACTATCGATATCCACTTAGGGATGAGCATCTTCAACGCCGAAAAGACGGCATCAAATGGAACTTTGGAAGGCGATTCCGCGTTACAGGGCGGGCACGGGTGGAACTTTGTGCGGAGCTGGGAGGGCCCGGGCGCAGCAAATCCACCGCCGTCCTAGCGGTGACCTTGACCTCTGCGGTCTGTTGCGGCTCCAAAGCCAAGCCGGCGTCGAATTTGGAGAGCTCCCCCCCCCCCCCCCAGCTCGGCACGAAGTTTTACCTATGAGGGTGAGTATATCGGAAAATGGACTGGACATCTGGGGTGAGAGCTGGGGTACCTCTTACGAAAACCGGTTAGTGAAAAAAGGTGACAGTCTACCTCTAAGGTTCACATGCAAATGTAAAAAGAGACAGCTGAGAGAACGTCCAACTGGTTTTCCTGCAAATTTTGTGCAAAATCGAGCCAGACGTGAAATCAAGTAACTTATGAACGCTTTTTGCGATGCTTGGGTGCTGACGCAATCCCAAAGCAATTATTGGTTCACACCTGAACGTTGGGCATATGGTTGTTACGAGTACACCTTGAGAAATCGCCTGGCCATTAGTCGGAATATCTGTCGCAGATGACGTCTAATGATGACAGGAGTTCGACCAATAGCAGGGAGAGCGCTGTAGATCAGTCGTAACGCCCCGCGCGCACAGCGGGGATCCACCAAGGAACTCACCTCCCGACAATGAGGGTGACAGGTGATGTCACGGGAGACGGGTAGTGGAGAAAGACCGGCGGTGACGGGATTACGTGCTGACAGTGACATGAAGAGACTAATGGGTGTTAGGAACTAGCAGCCGACTCGGCAGAAGGTTATAGGATGGCAGCGGATTTGCTGCGTCCTGGTCCGGCTACCTCTAACTATCTCAGCAGAAATCCACACCCATGAATGCAAGGTGATACTTACTCCAGATATATTAGACCTGCATTGATAGCGATATTCTGCGTTACAGATTTACTGTGTAAGGGACCTTGTAACTATACAAATAAGTCGATGAATGAATTGACTCGGCGAAATACGTTTCTCCCGGACAAGACCAATCCTGCAGCGCACATAGACCAACTCCCGTCATGCATAATGCAAACTACCACCTGGCGGCTGGCACCGTTGGCCTTGGACTGGCCAGTGATGGTGAGCTCCAGCTGGCCTGAGGGCACCATCGGCTAATAACTCGCCATGGCTGGCCGGCTGCTAGTGACGTCACAGAGGGTGGAGCATACCTGAGATCACAGCCGGGCTGTTTATCTGGCGTGTTAGGGACGGTCAACACAGGAGGGGAGGGCAGTACAGTGTGGGAGCTCGGTGCGAGCAGGCTGGAGCGGCGAAGTGCAGGGACCGGCCCGCGGAGAACGGCATCGAGCCGGTGAGAACTCTATGCCTTTGTGTAGAGGAAACATGAAGCCGAAAATGCTTAATTTTCTGAGGATGGTGAGCCTGCTCTGCATCGCTGTGCTGTTGGTTACGTCTGCCACTGGCTGCTCTGGACAAGATAACGGAAGACCTCTTGTCGCCACGAGAGAAGGTCTGATCAGGGGTGCCATAGGCAGAAGCGTTGCCGGCAGACTCTTCTACAGCTTCAAGGGAATCCGGTACGCAAAGCCTCCGGTTGGCAGCCTGCGGTTCCAGCCACCTCAGCGACAACTCGCCTGGAGAGGTGTGGCGGACGGTCTGTCGCACGGCAATGTGTGTCCACAGTTCGACATGTTAGCCAATAACACTCTGAAGGGTGACGAGGACTGCCTGTTTGCCAACGTGTACACGCCGCACCTTCCGGAGCTGTCCCGACCCGCCACCGCCGGTTTGCCCGTTATGGTGTTCATCCACGGAGGGGGGTTCAGCACCGGCAGCGGGGATGATGATATCTACGGACCGAGCTACTTTATGGACGAGGACGTGGTGCTGGTGACGTTCAACTACCGACTCAACACGTTCGGCTTCTTCACGACGCACGACGCGGCAGCTACCGGCAACTACGGCCTGCTGGACCAGGTGCTGCTGCTGCAGTGGGTGCAGGACAACATTGCCGCGTTCGGCGGCGACCCGCACGCGGTGACCATCTTCGGCGTGTCGGCCGGTGGAGCCAGCGTGTCGCTACTGGTGCTGAGCCCGCTGGCCAAGGGCCTGTTCCACCATGCCATCACCCAGTCCGGCTCGGCCCTGGCCAGTTGGGCGCTGGGTAGCCGAAAGAACAGCGCCGCCGAGAACCTGGCTGACCTGCTCGAATGTCCCATGGAAGACGTCGCCGCAATGGTCGAGTGCATCAGGGAACAGCCCTGGGAGAAAATCGCCGAGCACACCAAGACACTGAAGCCGGGATTTCAGTATCAGTTGCGTGTGGATCGCGAGGCGGAAAACCCACTTATTCCGGAAGACCCGCACCTGCTGCTGGCGCGCGGTGAGTTTAATCTGGTGCCGTGGATGAGCGGCCTGACCCAAGAGGAGGGCGCTCTCTTCGTGCCACTGCTGTTCTCAAACAAGCAGGTCGTGGAGGCCCTATCCAAAGGAAACCTATCAGAATGGGTTCAAGCAGCCGACCTGATTACTGCGTCTGGTGTTAACAAACTGGACTGTGGTGCCGATCCAATGAAAGAAGCGAAGAGAGTGTACGACTTCTACGTCGGAGACAGGGGCGCCAACGCTTCGGACCTTCTACCGCTGGTGCAGGGCTGGGCTGACCGGCACTTGGTGTCGCCCATGGTGGCTGAGATGACACTGGCCTCGCAGCACGCGCCTGTGTACAAATATCTCCTCGACTACAGCGGGCCGGGACGACTCAGCCTGGCCCACGTCGATTTATTCTGGCCAGGTGTACCCGACTATGGCACGACGCACGGAGACGACATCCCGTACCTGTTCAGCAACGACAAGCTGCCGTTGGTGCAGCGCGGCTCGCCGACCCACACCATGGTCCGCTTCATGGTCAACGTGTGGACGACGTTCGCGCGCACCGGCCGACCTGGATCGGACTTGCTGCCCATGCCCGACTGGCCCGTGTTCACGGAGCTGCACCAGCGACACATGCGGCTGAACACGGCGCCCTCGGTCGGCGAGAGGCTCTTCCAGGAGCGTGTCGACTTCTGGAAGACGGTGCCCATCAATGAGCCGTGGAGACACCCGGTGGATACCACGTGCCTGGATGACTCGGTGTCAGAGGATAGAGAACAGACGGATGGCGACATGTGAATGTGGAAAACTCGTCTGTCTAGATGTTTTTGGTAAAGCTAAATAACGCTCAGCCATGAAACGGATATCAAAACAACTCACAAAGTGGAAGGATATGTATGCATGTTGCCACTCGAATGCATTGTCAATGCAGTCAGACTCTGAATCTTCATTTTCTTGAATAAATGCATCGCTAATGTTTAGATATGTATACATATGTTAAGTGGGTACCAATTGTCTAGTTGTTGAAACCATCTGAGAACAAAACAACATGAAAATTGCAATTTCAAAAAAGCAAAACAACATAATTGAAATTTCAAAAAAATGTTCTACGTTGGTTTTCCTTCATTTTTGCCATTTGATTTGCGATGCGTATACTGTTTGATTATTTAATCTCTGACTTCGCCGGTCAGTGGAGCTTGTCCCTGTTGGTGATTTTCCTAAATGAATAAACAAATAAATAAATTTGGCGTGAATCTCGGTATTTGCTTATGGCGTTGGTTGGTGTATTCGGTTATGTTTGTTTATTGAAATTGAAATTGACTTCGACCCGTAATTTAATTTAGAGTGCATGCTCTCTGCAGGTAATAAAGCTATGTGCATCTGATGCCACTTATCCGCTCGAGGGCATTGTCCGCTACTACAATAAAAGGCGATTTATGAGCGACGCTTCCATTGGAATGTTCGACCCGATAAGTATACTGCTGCAACAGTAAATAGTATCGTGCTAACCCTTGCAGAACCTATTGGTTTCACATGACACATGGTCTCGACCCAGGCGATGTCTATGAACTCTGAAATAAAGTCAAGCAAAGATCCATCGTTGGGGTCCGGGTTTTGATAGACAACTTCGGGAAAATACCGGAGAACAGCGATATGTTAGGTTTCTTGACACCATCAGTTTCGCTACGTTCGGATGCTATCCTTAGTTTGAGAACAGTTTGCATGGGTGCTGACTCGGGCCAATATCAGTTAGGGAAACTGGTCAGGTCAGCAAGTAGGTAACTTACGCTACCCTTGACCAACCGACTCAACATCGTATACGGCGCATGTCACTTCAGTCGTATCTAAACGTAACAAGCAACTTCCCACCACCGATAGATTTATCACTTGCCAAGTATGTACGTACCTACCTATACATTGTCAAGGGCTACTGATAGATTTATCGTTCCTGCTAGCTAAGGCATAATAGTCTGCAGGACAGGAGGGGATGACGGTTAAGTATTTATGTACTCGTATTTGCGATGACCTGCCGTGCATGGCTACCACTTCATTGCGCTTTCATTTTCATGGGTGAACGGTGAAGCAATATTTGTTCATCGGATGGACATCATATGAGTGAAAGCTTCGAGGATGTAAGTATAGGTGAGCTTGCTTGGTGAACTCATACATGTTGCTCTTCAACGGCTGTTTAGTGGAGCCTGTCGGAAGCATTGCATTCAAAAGCATTTACAAAGGAAATGCGAGATAAAATTAACAAATTATAATGGATGTAGGACATATACACCAGTTGGTAAGGCATCTGTACAATCGCTTTGTTTCAGTGGAATGTATTTTGTTTTTACCGTGATTGTACAGAACGACAGCCGACCTAGGATATCTGATGATTCATGTTGATCGAGGAAAGCCACAAACAGTATACGAATTACCGACATGCGAGTCGCTCCGTGTATCTGTCTGTTGCTGGGCGAGGATATGTGATCGGTAAGCCCGAAAGTATGTGTGAACTTTGAGTGAGCCTTCGTCAAATGTTTAGGCATCTGCTTGCGCTATGGTGACGGTCTAGCCATATCATTTTGTTTATATGAGAGTGACGTGTGTGTAATGTATACTTGTCTAGCTGAATACTCTGCGCTCACCTTTCCGCAACCATTGTAGACATTCCCCATCTCACGGGGAGGGGGGAGGACGGGGGAGGAAAGATTCATTATCATAGTGTCACCCAATGTTCTGTATCCAAGATTTCCAAGTTGGGGGTATGTATGTCCTTATTACATCCTGCAACTTTCAAAAGGTTCGGTCATCGGCTCTGACACGGAAGCAAAGTTGCAAATAAGTGATTTGAGGTCGGGGCATTCAAAGTGACCTGGTGACCTGACCTTGAAAAGTAGAGACCTATAAGTTGCAAACCAGGTGTGAAACTGATAAATAGATAATGATGCCAAACTTGGCGTCGCTACACGCCGAGGTTTTCCGCGCTATGTGCGAATAATCTAAGGGAGGGGGCGGATAATAAAAACAAGTGGGCAGGTATACGGGCTAGGCAATGAAAACAATGACAATTCAAACTAAACCCGCGCGGGGCTGGGGGGGTAAATTTTACCCCCCCTCGCGAACTTTTGCAATATCTCAAAAACGGCGGCGCGCAGCGCCGCCAAACTTTCAGTACCTTTTCGGACATCAATTTGACACGTTCTTTGAAAATTTGAGCGAAATCCGTCGGAAATTTTTTGAGAAATTGACGTTTTAGTGACGTCATGTTCGCCATTTTCGTCTCAAAAACGGCAAAATTTCAAACGCCGCTAACAACTTCATTTTAAAAGGAATCAAGGCGTAACAAATAAGGTTATACGTAATTCTACTTTGTCTATCAAATGGCTATCTCGGTTTTTTGAAAATTTAGGATTTTGGCCCAAATTTTTCCAAAAAACTGACTTTTTTGGGAAAATAATTATAAAATCCAAAATTTTGAGTGTATCGAAAAAACCGGAATATATGTCATAGAAGTGGTCTATGTGCACCTACCTACCAATTTTTAGAAGAATCGGTTCAAAAATGTTGGAGTTATTTAACATTTTATGACGTCACGACACACACAAAATTTGAAAAATGTTTTTTTTTGGAAGTTCTAGACCTCGTACGGAAACAAAAATAGCACCATTCGATTTGCCGTGAAAAACTGCATCAGATAGACACCTTTTTAAGCCTTAACAACCAACTTTAAAAATTGACCTCACTTGACCTGACCTTGACCTGACCTCGACCTGAAATTTATTCAGAGGTGGTCCATATCACTTATTGAGTGTGCCTATTGAATTCTATGAGTAAAATTACCCATAAAACATGCGTCGCACATGCCCTTTTCTATATTTTGTTTTTGGTGACCTGACCTGACCTGACCTGACCTTGACCTTGACCTCTGAATGATATTGTATGCAACGAATATTGTCTTGGTAGCCTAAGAACACGTTTTGGGCAATCAGTCTCAGTCCATGACTCCATTCTTCGGCAACTACGGTGCAAGGCCGATACTGTAGGAACTTGCAATTTGTACCCTTGACCTGACCTTGACCTTGACCTCAAACTTTAAATTAAGTACATGTTTTTAGTTGTTCGTGATGAGATCTTTCGATTGGCGTTTGAATTTTCCAAATCGGACCATTAGTTCGGGAGATAACAGGGGGGTAAAATTTGCACCCCCCCCCCCCCCCCAGCCCGCGCGTTCGGCTGGAGACCCCAGCCCCGCGCGGGTTAACCCTCGCACGACCAGGCCATTTCTCATAACACGAACGACCAGGGGGGGGGTTGTTACGACCCCCCCCCCCCTGGCGTTTCGAAACGGAAGGTCGTAGAGCTTAGCGGAAAAAACCAACGGATTGCTCTCAACGAGATCTCGCGATTGGTGGTATATTTTTTGGTCCTAGGTCAACATTTGACCTACTTTTGACCGGTCAAAGGTCAAATTTTCGGAAAAATAGACTTTTTTCAACTTTCGGCGGCGATTGCGGCAAAACGGTGGGAGATATCGACTTGAAACCTTCATTATCGTGTTCCTTGATCAATTCTCTATCGTTTGGTATGTATTTCGTTTCCCTAGCTCTAAAAATGGCGCGTTGGGAGCGCCGGAAGTCGGCAAGGTCACAGTCGGCGGCAGAAATTCGAAAAATCAAAATTTAAATTTTTGAAATCTGATTGTATTTTTGGATTTGGGAGGTCCATTTGCTCCCTATAGAAGCTAATTTTGCTGCATATTCCCATTGAGGTGACAAGAATTAACAAAATAGTGGTTCGGGCGCTTTTCAAAAATAGTACCGGACGCTGTTCCTCTTGTGACGTCATAACTCCGTGACCTGACCTGACCCGGTCAATTTTCTTGCACCACACGATAGCCAATGCTTGCCCCAACATGCATGGGAAGTTTCATCATGATCCATCAAACAATGTGGGTATCACCGGCAGAAAACCTAGGGATTCGGCGCACACGTTTGGTAACTGTCGGCCGGAGGCTGTACCTCTTATGACGTCATAACTCCGTGACCTGACATGACCCGATCAATTTTTTTTCGGCAAAAGATGCGCAAAGGTTGCCCCAGAGGGTATGGAAAATTTCAGCCCGCTACGACAAGCCGTTTAGCGTGCACTTCGAAAAAACCTCAGGGGGGGGGGGGGTTGATACAACCCCCCCCCCCCTAGGCGTTCTAGGGTTAATATAAACACAGAATGGCGTCTAGCCTTGAGAGGCCATGACTTGCCTCCCGCATTGATGGCTAGTTTTATGTATGTAAACTCTGGTCGCAGGTCAATAGCTGGATGTTTATCATTCACGTTGTAGCAGCAGCCCGTCCCTTTTATGTAACTATGTATGTGGAGGCGGCTCCATATGTAGTTAGTGCCTGGCATCCACTAGAACGACCACCGGCAGAATCTGTGTTGACAGATTTGTGATAGATAGAATAGTCATGGTTGTTGCCGGCACTTGTACTCTCCGTGCTCATGGCATGCGCCTTACACAGGCTACAGCTGACATTGAGGCGTGAGCTCTCGATGCCTGCTCAGACAGCCTTCCCAAATAACATTAAAGGTAGTGTGCCACCTTCCAATGATTTCCCATTTTATTTTTCCTAGGATAAGAAGCTTCTGTTTTTACCTAATATCGCAACAAAAATCAAAAATGGGCCTAAAATAGTGCTTTTTTTCTCCTAGAAGTTTATCGGTTTTTCGATATGTATAACAACTGTAGTGGGCTGACCTGCAAACAGGCGTCGGCAACAATCGCGAATGCGGCGCACATGTGACAATAAGCAAAGGTCATTATAGAGTTACGACGTACGGGAATGAGTTATCAGCTGTCTAATCGTAGACAACACAATGTCGAATTTAAACTGTAAGCCTGTATTGGTATTGTTTCTTTAATTTGGCTGTCGAACATTAATTTATGGTTTGAAATATTATTTTATGTAAAATAATTGATATGAAACAGCCGTCTCTAAAGTTATGACCCCATCTCACCACATGAAAGTGGCAGAAATGACAATGATCAGCTGACGCATTTTTCTTGGCCGAAGTCAGAGCGCGCGGCCCGACGCACCACCACCGCACCACAAAGTATGAGCAGAAGCCACCTGCGGTAGACCGCGCCCAAAGCCAGGGCCCCGGTAACGTGAGGTAGCCGAGTCGGGGCAGCGTGCGCTGACCCAAGCCGGGGCCGCGGCTTTGGGCGCGGTCTACCGCATCCCCGGGCAGCCCCGGGCTATCA